CCCCTCCACCGTGCCTCCGCACGGCCCAAACTTTCCGCATCGCGCACCTAGGAAATTTTCTAACCACGCGGATGGTCAAACACGGAAAAACATGGCGGACTGGCAAGAACTAGTTATGGCAGAGGTTCGTAAATACAGACATTTGTATGATTCAGCTCTCAAAGATCACCGTGATCTACATGTTGTTAATAATTCTTGGAGAGAAATAGCTCGCACTGTCGGAAAAGACGAGGACGCTGTTAAAAATGCTGGAATGCCATGTTGTAAACAACAGTAATTTTTACTTCTACTATGGTATAGTGTTGGATGCATGCCGTAGAGCTCTATGCTGCCCCCTACAGTTTGGGAGAATATTGGCTCACCGCAGAGACGAGCCGCATGAACCATAAACTCTGCAAGTTGTGAAGCGCGTTCCATCCGCGAGCCGCATCACCAAGCGGAAAGTAAATGTGTCAAGCATAAACCAAGCTTAAGACTTCCCTCTCTCCAGCCCCTTGATATTACAGTTTTTCTCCATTGGTTTGGCTCATTTCTTGAAACAGAAATTACATTCTCAAAAATAATATGGACAAACCTCCAGTCCTCTTGGCAAATGTTCACAACAGAATAGCATTTCTCATTCATTTTATCAAATGGCAAGTGCCATAGGTCAATCTTTGCAAATGATTAAGTTCATGTAGCCTACAGTTATACAGTTAGCCCACATTTAGCTCATTTTCCAAATGAATAGATCTTGTAGATCTAAACTGATTAGTTGATTCTCAGCCTAATGATCATTCTCTCCAAAACATGTCAGCATGATTTTGTTGTACGCTGTATTTACCAGAGTATAAGTCGCTCCGGAGTATAAGTCGCACCAGCCATAAAATGTATAATGAAGAAGAAAAAAACATATATAAGTCACACTGGACTATGAGTCACATTTTGGGGGGAAATTTTATTATTTTTCTTACAAAATCTGAGACCAATCATTTCACATTGCAAGACAAGTACCGGCGGTAACAATAACAGAATAAACAATCAGCTGTTGCATCAGCAGTATGCGCAGCAGCGCACCACGGTCTCCAGCCAATATTGTATTATATTATGGTCTAAGTTTATTTTTATAATGTTTTATGTACATTTCAGTTTATTGCACTATGGTTTGTATTTCCTTTAACCACTGGTGGCACTGCGGAGCCTATAAAGATGTTGAGGTGGCAGTGCACTGGCGTTTCTTGGGTGACCTGAGGTCACACGGTTTTTACCGCTTCATTTGGTTTCATATGCCACATCTAATTTGCCGTTATAATTTTCATCATTTACATAAACCTGGACAAGAAATAGCCATTCTGGACCCTGCATAACTGTGATCGTCAACATATTCAATAAATGGGACAATAAACCCAAACCCGCTTTCTGCCTAGACAATATTGCTGAAGCGAGTCATTACCTCCACCCGCACCCAAGAGTGACTAAAAGTGGGACTTGGTAGTCATTACAACTCCGAAGCAACTTATATACCAAATTATGTATACCGCGCTGCTATGGACCGGATCCGGACCGGGAACAAGCTCCTCTGCCCCGCTTTCACCTGCTGGAGACCTTGGCGCGCTGCTGCGGGCTGGCTCCGGTCCATGTTTCAGCTCCTCTTCCCCGCCATCACCTGCTGGAGCCTGTGGCGAGCTGCTGCGGGCCGGGCGGCTCTCACCCAGGAATGAGCTCCCCTGTCTCGCTGGGAAGGTTTCAAACACCATCATCACCTGCTGCAGCCTGTGGTGGGGTGCTGCAGGCCGGCTCCAGCCCAGGAATGAGCTCTTCCCGCCCGCTCGGAGGGTTTGAAACACCGCCATTCTCTGCTGGAGACCGTGGTGCGCTGCTGTGCCCTGGTTGTTTATTCTGTTATTGTTACCGGTACTTGTCTTGCAATGTGAAATGCTTAGTCTAAGATTTTGTTAGAAAAATAAAAATAATAAAATTTCCCCCCAAAGTGCAACTTATATATATTATACATGTTTTTTTTTCTTCTTCATTATTAATTTCATGGATGGTGCGACTTATACTCCGAAGTGACTTATACTCCGGAAAATACGGTAATTTCCTTGGTAGTGTGAGTGCAATCTGTGATGTCAAACCTTGGAGGCTACTCTTTTTGGTTGTATATTGTTGGTCCTCTGCCATAGTGACAAAATATGTAAACATTTTGTATGGCAGTGCTCACACAATGCCAAAGGGACAATGCATTTTGGGGTCACTGACTATTCAGATTAGAAAGAAATGTAGTTTTGACACATGAGTGAACTGTTTTAGGACAGATATGAACTTTTGCAGGTAAACCATGTTGTTGTGATCAACCATCCAGGTTTATTTTGACAAAAGCACCAAGAATGATGAGAATGTCCGATCTGTGTCGAGAAATGAGCCAAAGCTATTGAGAAGGATCTTTGCCATTATGGAGACACTGACTGTTTAAATGAGAAAGGGATTTAGATTGAAGCCTGAGTGAACCTTTATGGAAGAGATATGAGCTTTTGCAGGTGAGCTATCGTGTTGTGCTAAACTGTAAGAGTGTTTTGCCAAATGATCTTAGAAGTTTGAGAATGTAATTTCTGTTTTAAGTAATGTGCCAAACCAGTGGAGAAAAACTGTAACCACAAACTCTAAATTTCCTAGTAACAAAGACTAAAAAAGTAAATGGCTACAGCTGCCATTGTTGTACAAAGTGACACCCTCTTTCGGTGGCTGAGGGATATTGCAACACATGCTAAGGAGATGTAAATAAAGCACTGCACCGCAGGGAAGTCAAAAAAAGCTTAAACGTCCCACAAGCCATTGCTTACAAAGCATTGTGGGATTGTGTGTGATTCATTTGTGAATTTTAATTATTGACATACAAGAACACACATGAATGTAATGTGGACATGAACACCAAAGTTTACAGGAAAGCCCCCTAGTGGCTGGCTGCATTGTATGTTTTACTGTAAGACCCATTTGCTCCACGTACATAAATGGGACATTTATCTGATTTTACTATGCAATACCCATAATGAGTTGTAGCCCCATGCCCCCATGGGTTTGGCTCTGTGGTAATCATTTAATCAGATAAAAATTGCTTTTTGTTTTGTTTCAGCATTGCTGAGAACATGTCTCATATATTTGCAATTTATTGCCACCTTTACAAACGTTTCTCCAGAAATTCTGATAATAATCATGATAAGGAACAAGTGTGTGGAACTCTAAAAGCAAACTTATTTTTGATTTACTGCAATAAACACACACATACAGATATTTGTTTAATTGATTATTGTGCTGAATTTGCTAAAGACCCCTATTGGAGATGTGGTCTTCCTGTGTCTGATCCCTGCAGCTTTTTAGTGTAAATGTATTTTTGGGTCAACTTCCCACCACTCCCTGTGTAGAAAGAATAATCTCCACGGGGGTAATCGTTGGATAATTTTCACAGTAATTAATATTAATGTCAAAAGCACTCATTATCAAACTGGAAAGCCATTATTTTAGACTTAAGTAGTAACTGTGCACTTGTGATTGGTTCCAACCAACCAGAAAACTACTGTAAATGTAGATAGATAGATAGATAGATAGATAGATAGATAGATAGATAGATAGATAGATAGATAGATAGATAGATAGATAGATAGATAGATAGATAGATAGATAGATAGATAGATAGATAGATAGATAGATAGATAGATAGATAGATAGATAGATAGATAGATAGATAGATAGATAGATAGATAGATAGATGTGTTTCTCCTGAAAAACTTGTTTTTGACTAGAAATATGATGAACTAACAATTAAATATTAACATTTTTGACATGTTTTATTTAAACACGTTAGAGACTAATGTTTTAGAGAGTATTTTTTTTCTGCTTGCTTTAACTATTTTCTTGTTGGTTTAAAAACAGGAATTTGAGTAAAAATTACAAACATTTTCAAGATTTAATACAGTTTTTTCAAATAAACCATCATTTCTTTTATTTATCTGCCCATAAACCATCATTTTGTAAGGAAGCAAATGGACAAGAAACATCTTAGTACAAATTTATTAAGAAGCTGCCTCGTTACTCATATGCACCTTCCCACAACAGGGCGTGCAAATCTCAGCAGACGTGTTCTTTTCAGCACAACACCTGTTAAAATGTGCCCCAATGCTGTAGATAGCGGATCTGCTCAGGCTGCCAGATCAGCTCGGGAGTCCTGCACTTGCAGATGACGTCACACTAAGTCAAGTCCACTTGGCTTTCACACATAAGTTTTGGAAAGATTTTAGCAGTTTTGTTCATAAATTCTTGCTTCCTAATGTTTTTCTTTATAACTGTAATTTTTAAATAAATCATCATATTGTCTTTGTTTCATAAATAATGTAAAAATACATAAACCAGCATCAGACTGTGCCAAAAAGTACAACAGTTTTTATAGGTGAAACATTTTTTACGTAATTAAATAATTAGAAGCCACTTTCTTTGGTATAAATGTGGAAATCTTTAGTAAATGTTGTTAGTTCTTAAGTAAATGAATTCATTCACTCATTCAAAATGTTGCTTTCAATTTGTTGGGGTTAGGGTTGCTATTTGCTCAATGAAGTCATTTATATTTTGTCCCATTTCATCAAAATCAAGAGCTGTTGAGGGTCTCCGTTAATCAGTTCATATATTCGCTGTCCGTCAGCATGCTAACTTACGAACGTGGTATGTAACTTCCGTAAATCCTACGTCCAGCCAGTCATCTAGTGTGATGTCATCGTCAGGCGCAGGACCTCAAGCCGATTTGGCAGCCCGAGCTGATCCGGTGCCTACAATCCCACTAGAGTCCCAAAAAGAAAAGCACTGCTTGAAGTCACAGTCAATAAAAGACGACAGCAAAAGACATTTGGATGTATATTTAAAAAATAAAAATAAAAAATTTAAAACTGTGACTTGTGTTTAACATTCTTGACAGGTGTTTAGCTCTTTCTAGTTTCCTCTGAAAATACAGGCTTCTGGTTAGGCAGAAGTGTCTGTTGTGTCTACTGCTAGGGCCAGTAGAGGGGTGAGTGCTCTTCGCATTCAAAAGCTAGCTTGCTCTGTAGATTCACTATAACAGCTTTAAATACTTTTGTTTTTTGTCTGTTACAAGCAGAATATTTAAATAGTAAATAAATCTAACAATTAAATATATTTTTCCGAGGCAATCATAGAAAACGCAGCCTCATCGACGTTGTCCAGTGAAATATAAGTAAATGTTAATTCCTGAGAGTTGAGCACCTCTACTCGAGGCTGGAGGGGGGTTCTCCTGCATCTTGTAATTAGCTGAGCAGCTTTACTACTCAGACACGACAGAGGTATTCTCCTGCATCTGTCTGATGAGTTTCCTTGCGTGGTGTTGGGTTTGAAACGTGAGCGTCACGGAGCCTCCTCCTCCTCCTCCTCCGTCTGAGCCGGAGAGAAGTCCCAGTGAGCGGCTCCCTAACTTTAGTGTCGGGTCTGAAAGCGGAGCGCTGAGGAGCCGAACCGGAGCCGCTCTCACCGAGGATTTACTCCTGTCTGTCGGGCTGTTTTAAATCTGCTTTGATCCGCATTGGCTTTGAAGTTTTCCACCGTCACGTTTTAGTTGCGGACGCGCGCCCCCGCGTCTGGGATTATTCCTTTTTGCCTGAAGACTTTATCATTTATCAGAAAGCTACTTTTTGTGAGTTCGGTTGGTTTTGGAGATCTTATCAGATGACTGTTCGGTTCGAACCCAACCTGCTCTGACATGAGGAAATAACGTGGATCTCCTTGTGAGCCTGTGCGTTTTGTTGACTTTTTATTGATCGTTTTCTAAAATTTAACCCTTTTTAATAACGAGGATGGACGGTTGTTCGCTGCAGAAGGTGATTTTTTCCTGGTATCTCTTGGTGATGTCTGGCTCCAGTTTTGAGATTGGCTCCTATGACCTGGATCGAGGCAGACCAGCCAAGTGTGAGCCCATCATGATCCCAATGTGTCAGGGGATCGGCTACAACCTCACCCGGATGCCCAACTTCATGCACCATGACAACCAGAACGAGGCTGCCATCAAGCTGCAGGAGTTTGCCCCACTGGTGAATTATGGTTGTGATGTTCACCTCCGCTTCTTCCTCTGCTCCCTCTATGCCCCCATGTGCACAGACAAGGTGTCCACCTCCATCCCCGCCTGCAGACCCATGTGTGAGCAAGCCAGGGAAAAGTGTGCCTCCATCATGGAGTCCTTCGGCTACACCTGGCCCGACTCCCTGGACTGCTCCAAGCTACCAACCAGAAATGACCCCAACGCGTTGTGCATGGAGGCCCCCGAAAATGAAACCAGGACGGAGGGAAAGAAAGGTGAAGGCATGCTCCCGATGCCCCCTCGCCCTCGGCAGCCGGGCGCCAGTGGAAGCCGCTCTCCAGGTGGTGTGGGATCGTGCGAGAACCCGGATAAGTTCCAGTTTGTGGAGAAGAGCCAGTCCTGTGCTCCACGCTGCTCCCCCGCTGTGGACGTCTACTGGTCCAGGCAGGACAAAGACTTTGCCTTCATTTGGGTAACGGTGTGGTCCATCCTGTGCTTCGTCTCCACTGCTTTCACAGTCCTGACCTTCCTCTTGGAGCCTCACCGCTTCCAGTACCCTGAGCGGCCCATTATTTTCCTCTCCATGTGCTACAACGTCTACTCTGTGGCCTTCATCATCCGCTCAGTGGCGGGGCCTGAGAACATTGCCTGTGACCGTGAGAATGGTGAGCTCTACATCATCCAGGAGGGACTGGAATCCACTGGCTGCACCATAGTCTTCCTCATTCTCTACTACTTTGGGATGGCCTCTTCCATCTGGTGGGTCATTCTGACTCTCACCTGGTTTCTGGCTGCAGGGAAGAAGTGGGGCCATGAGGCGATTGAAGCCCACAGCAACTATTTCCACATGGCTGCCTGGGGTATCCCTGCTCTGAAGACTATCATCATCCTCACCATGAGGAAGGTGGCTGGAGATGAGCTGACGGGACTGTGTTATGTAGGAAGCATGGACTCGGGCGCTCTCACGGGCTTCGTCCTCATCCCCCTGTCCTGCTACCTGATCATCGGCACATCCTTCATCCTCACGGGCTTCGTGGCCCTCTTTCACATCCGTAAAGTCATGAAGACCGAGGGCACCAACACGGAGAAGCTGGAGAAGCTCATGGTGAAAATCGGCATCTACTCCATCCTCTACACGGTGCCTGCCACCTGCGTCATCGTCTGCTACTTCTATGAGAGGCTGAACATGGACTACTGGAAGCTGAGGGGGCTGCAGATGAAGTGCGGCTCTTTCGGCGGCCACACCAGCGACTGCTCCCTGCAGACGTCCGTGCCCACGGTGGCCGTGTTCATGCTGAAGATCTTCATGTCGCTGGTGGTGGGCATCACCAGTGGCGTGTGGGTGTGGAGCTCCAAAACGCTGCAGACCTGGCAGGGCCTGTGCAGCAGGAAGCTGGTGGACAGGACTAGCAGCAGGAAACCCTGCAGCGGCGTCAGCTGCAGCAGCACGCACTGCCACTACAAATCTCCTGCTGTGGTTCTGCACACGGCCAAGACTGACCTGCTCTCAGACAACCCCACACACGTCTGAGAGGGAGCACACACACACACACCTATGCCCTGTGTAAGGAGCTGCTAAAAGACTATAGAGGAGTGTTTGAGTTGAGCTGCTGCTGCCAAAGGGCACAAAGGTACAGCTGTCACTACTTCATGTAAACAGTATTTAGTACATAAAGGGAAATGTTCAGTATTGCTACCCTTCTTTTCCTGTTCATGCTGTTCATATATATTATTAGTTATGGGAGGATCCTGGGGTATTTTTGTGTTTTCCTTCCTGAGAGTGACACCATTATTTGTATAAATCTGTACAAATGTTTTATTTATTGTAAATGTATTTAATTTAAAGTTGTTTGGTTGCATTTGTTGAAAGTCAGGGGAAATCAAGTGCCTTTTCTAATAAATCTGGCCTTTCGGAGGAGAATACTGTTGTTTGGTTCATGGTGTGTTACACTGAATATTTGAACCGTTTGAAGAAATTTAAACAGTTTGATGCGCCTTTTCTCTCCCTCTGAGATTAGCACCGTTTTTTTTTTTAATGTGGGACTCTTGTGTTGTCTTCCAAGTGCATCCCAGAGGCGTCCTCATCAATAATCCTCAAACAGAATCGCTGATGAATGGAGCGACAAACCGTGGCAGGCATTAACGTTTGCGTCATCGGCTTTAAAAAATGCAGCAGCGGTTTTGAGGAGGAATATATTTAATTAATGGCTGTTTTAATCCTTCCTCGGAGTCAGTGTTGTTGCCCTCTCGCTGCTCCATTTGATCCTCATTCAAAACACTCGGCACTTTGATCTGAGAGCGAAAATCTGAAGTGGATTTCAGTCTTATTGCGTGGTTTCACTGACAGATTTAAGTTCAGCACAACCGGAGCAGCTCGGTGAGTTGACAAACTTGATATTCAGGTGGTCTGTGGCTCCAGGAGCATCTGACGCTGGATAAATTAAAAGGAATTCTTCAGTTTGAGGCTGCCACAAAATAACTTTACGCTTTCAGCTAATGTGAGGGATGAATAATGAACGACTGACTCAGAGAGGAAGAATGTAAAACATTATTTTTACTAAATATGTGCTCCAAGTGGGTTTCTGCCACTAACTTCTCTGTAATAAAGTCAGTTTATAATGCACAAGAGCCACCGTGTCCTCTGATGGTTCATAAAAAAGTGAAAATAAATAGCTTTTGCATTACGAAACTTTAAAACTTAGGTGCCAACACAAATTGCAACCTCACACTTAAGTTGTTTCGCAGCAAAATTCTGTAAATGTGGGAGTGTGTGTGTGTGTGCGCGTGCTGCGTCACCACCCCCAGCAGCCTGACTGTCCACAGGAGTGAAAGTATGAAAAGTCTGGGGTTGACCAGGAGCTTGTTTTGCTTACATTAACTGCGGAGCGTCAGCGTGCGCTCGCTGACATCTGCAGAGGTTAAAAAGTTGTTTTCGTTTTTCCACCGCTGGCAGTTTAAAGTCAAAAGTGCTTCAGCTTGTTGAGTACTTTGCATTTATTTAAATCACAGCCCAGTATGAGTCAAACTTGCTTTCAATAGTGAGAAAATAAGATTTTTTTTTTACTTCAGTGTTGCACAACGAAAAAAAATGTGGGTAAAGTAGCTACTTCATATCTGCTGGTAAATGATAAAAAAAAGTGCTGAGATTATGTCAAACTGTTGCCGTTAGCAACACAGACTCCTGAAATAGGATCCAAAATGCATGAACAGCTTGTTTAGAAATGAGTCACCTTCTACCTGGATGGCTCCAAAACTGCTGAATTAACTTTAATGCCTTTCATTTAGCAGACACAGATATGGGTGACTACCATTATAACCCCCCCCCCCCCACTGTTTTCTTTGCTCAGTCTTTGTAGACATTGTCCTTGGCTTGGCAGGCAGGCCCTGCGAGTCCTGGACTCTGACACTGAGTGGATCACATTTAACTATTAAAAATGGGCTGTTTTGATTGGACTCTCCACTGGTGGTGTTTGAGCCACATGTTCCAGTTCATGATTGTCCAAATGGAGGGGGGGGAGGGGGTACGTGCTTCCTCCCCAGTTTACACTCCATTGACGTGACCCAGAAAGGCAGAACACTTGCTGCATGAGACAAACCAGCTCGTCCCACCTGTGCTGAGCTGCACTGATTAGATAGCAGGGAGTTAAGCACATAAAGAGGGGGGAGAGGGTAAGTGTGACCTTTCCTGTAGAGTTCTCATTCAGTTTTTCCCTTCTTTTCCATTTGCCAGTCTTTATAACTTTAAAACGAATCAGAAATGACTTCTTTGGGGGTTTTAATCACACAGATATGCTGCATTTTCAGGTCACTGAGATATTTTAGCTGCTTTTATTCCCGTCTGTCCTCCGATAGGAGCAACACAGTCCAATAACAGTTTGTTTGAGCTGTGTTTTTTTTTTTTTTTTTTTGTCGCCAGTGAGTTCCTGTCTCACACAAATCCACCTGAGGTCACAAGTGCAGAAACACGCATGACCAATGAGCACCAAGCTGGTTTTAAAGAAGACCTCCACCCCAAACTAAAAAAAAAAAGAAGCCCAATTTCAGGAGTAAGTAAACTCAGTCCCGCTCCAAAGGTTTAGTTTGGCTCAGTTTCCAGGCTGGTTTTCTTCTCCTCTGGCTCAGGAGGTTAAATAGTGTCAAAGTCACCGAGCAGAAAGTTAGTCTGGGCCAAAAGTGAGACTCCTCCCTGAAAAGGCAACACTTTTCTCAGAAATATTTAATTGTGTCCACTGTTAGTCTTACAGTGTATTTATTGACTCTCAGGCAGCACAGATTCGATCTGTTTAACAGGGATTTGGGCAGTTTGTTTTTGAGTTTTGAAATAAGAAAAAAAAGTGTTGTGAAAACACTTCAGCATTTACCCCGCTTCAGCTGCTGACACCGAGTTTTTGTCCGCTGAGGAGAAATCCCTCCATCTGGTCATGGGTCTGATTAAAGGCGATCATTATGGCCTCAATGCACCTCCCTCATATACTTAAACCCCCTCCTGCCCATCCCCGGGGCTAAAAAAGAGAAAATAAAGCATCCTTCATTGCCCTGCCCTCCCTCCTCCTACAGCCCCTCACCCCCTCCACCTCCTCCTCCTCTTTGAGCACTATCCCTTTCCTGGCCTGTTTTGATGTGTAAATGAGCGCATTGAAAACCTGCAGGCCCCAAAAGAGATGCTTTCCATGAAAATGCTCCAGTCAGAGAGCACCGGAGTTCACACAGCTCCTCACAAGCAGACTCCAGTCAGGCGACCAGCGCGCCGCTGTTGTCTCCGCTGTTAGGGGCAAAGCCAAACACATGTACACAGAATCAAACACAACACGCAGCTGCACATGTGTCCTGACTCATATTTAAGCACATTTACACTGTGACCTCTGACTGGAGTACACAGACCAAGAATTTAGGCTTTTTTTGGGGTGGGGGGTGGGGGGGGTGGGGGGGGTCCATTCACCAACCAAAATGTTTCTGGTCACCTTTTGGCAGAATACTAAATACTACGTCACGAAAAATACATGCTTTTCACCTGAACATTTATTTGAGTTTCTGAATTTCTGTTTCTCTATAAGCTCGGAGCCTCTGATATAACACAAGCCTGTCACTTTGTTTGGGGGCTGCACGTCTAAAAATAAGTCATTCCTTGAGCTGTTTGGTTTTTCAGCTGGCTCACACGTCTGAGTTAAGCTGCATCAGCTCTGTTTTCAGCAGCGCTCGTCTTTACATTGACCCTCAGTCTCAGAGGGTATTAATAAATAGATCACATTAGATAACAACAGTTAGGGCCGGCCTGTTAGCATGCACTAGCCACTTTTGGTTCAACTGTTCTATCAACGTGAGCCGACTCAATGCAAAACCAGCAAAGAAGTAGATCAGCACCAGCTATCTTCTTCCAAACAGCTTGAGCAAGGAATGGTCTTATTTTTAGAGCTAAAATGCAATGCCGCATTCCATTTCCTTGGAAGTCGGACCTCAGATCTGGGAATGGCGTCACACCCAAATAAATCACGTTCCGGTTGCAAGTCGGAGAACCAATAGGACAGCTGTGCTCATAAGCAGGCTGTTGCTAGTAATATATGTTATTAACACCCCACTACTTAATGTTGACCCTTTGCACGTGGTGTTGCGCTGTTGATGGGAACACCTCCTTCACTATATCAGACATCAAAAGAAGTAATAAAGCTACAATGGCCAATCTGCAAAAATAGCTAGCTTAAACATAGATTTGTATGGCTCTTTACAACATTCTAACATTGTATGAATATTGTGTGGAGATAAAAAAAATAAACATGAGTAAAATAATGGAGTGGTTGTCTTGCCAATTACATGTTTCAGTAAAGGACCGCACGTTTCAGACCAAAAGCAACTATTGGACCGTTGTGTTGTCGGTCTTGTTGAACCGCTGTACTTCCACACTTTCCTGGGTCTTCCATTTATGACGCACTCATGTATTTAGCAACAGAACACCACTGAGAGGTTCTCTGCTCACTAATATCAGAGAAGATGAAACAGCTGGCTGCTGCCACTTCAACTTTAGGACAAACTACCAGAGTCACGGACAACAAAAGATGTTTGGACGTAGAAAATGACGACCGGTGTTTAGCACTCTCTCATTTACTCGTGCAATGTGCGTTCTGGTATCAGGCGGACATGGCCCAGGGATGATAGCTGACGGGAGGGGTGAGTGTTCCGTGATCGTGTTTGTGTTTAAAAGCTAGCTTGTTTTGCAGATTTGCTAATGCAGATTTAACTGTTAGTTAAAATGTTAGGGCTAATCACAACAAACTAATTTGTAGCCTGATATCACATTTTTTCTTGATTTCCTGGTAAAATGGTAATAGTTGTTGCTCAGTTGGCTGCATTAGCAGACAAGGGTGTAAAACCAACTTTTCTCTTTATCGATTTACTTTGATGGAGACAGAAGATGACGATGGATAGCCGCTTTAAATCAAAAGACATGGCAGCTCTCACCTTTGACAGAGTAGGATTAAAGTTAATTTATTTCCTGAGCAAGACAGTGATTGACTGTTATAAAGAAGCGTGACGTGTTTATATTATTTATTTATTTAGTGTTGACAATCTCACTGTGTTGTGTGTTGAAATTTCACTATGTTGGGTGTGCATTCATGTCCATTGACAGAAACTAATAATATTGTTCCAATGTTAAAATTGACCAACCTGCGTGAAAATTACACTACTTATTCAGTACAATGAGATTTGCCATTATATCTAGTAACCCCAGTGTGAGAGTAGCTAATCCAATGACAAAGAACAGCTTGGGATCCAGATGTTTAGGCTTCTAAATCAGCTCCAGTGTGGTGAAACACTGTGTTCACCACATACTGGTATAAATGGTGGGTGGGGGTGAATTCTGACAAAGTCAGTGACTTGATCAAATTGATGAACACAGCAGTAGGGAAAGGGTAACTTTTGTAAATA